TAGTTGGTTAATAAAGAAAAATATTTGGATTTTGTATTTAAAAATTACCTCAAGATAGCATCAGGCAACAAAATGTTTCAAATAGGCTATTATAATTTTGTAATTCATAATTATTGATTATACTCTTTTTCATTTTAAGCTAAAACGGCCTGTACTCTGATTTTGCTGTTAATGTTTAAAGCAAATTGCTTTGTCAGACAGGGGGGCATCCTTCAACATAATTTATGTCATTGTCACTAAACTATGATAACTTTTCTGAACACATTTAACTTTTGTTTCACAGAAAAAAGTTTTCCCACACTCTACCCTATAAGTAACATTACATTTTTTAATATTTTATGTGCCTATACATAGTATATAAAATGCTATATTTTCATATTATACCCTGTATATGTTTGTGTGTATATCTACATCTCAACATACATACATTTAAGATACAATGCATTTTTAAAAAGTCTTTTCCGTATTCTGATGATTTCTTCCTATTCCTTTCTATATTTGTTCCTCTTCACAATCCAACAGTGCACTTTGTGATCCGGCGGTATCAGCCCTCTGACCGGGAGGCTGTGGAAACAGTTTTCCGGAAAGGAATGATGGAGCACATCAATCCTGCGTTCATGTACGCCATGACCTGACCTCTGCACATCGCTGTAAGCCTGTTCTTTTACATCGGCGCTTATGTGATGGCTGGACAGTCAGTCGATCTGTCCCTGGTGTCTGGAGGAGCCTGGATCGGCCTGGTGTTTACGGTTGGCCAAAACTGCTGAGGACTTCTGTAGGGAATGCCACTTCTCAAAGATCGAACTGTCCACCACTTCTGCACAGAAAGCGGCCCTGGTGTTGTACTTTAGGCTGGGTTTTAAACTCGTCCTGGTGCATACTCAGTCTGAATCTCCCAAGTGGATGATCTGGATGACTAGAGCCACATTTCTGACCATGGAGAAGAACATTTGATCCTTAGCTTCTCATCTAAAGGCTTAAATCCTAGAAGTTTTATAGTTTTGATGGATGTACTGTTTTTCTTTCATAATCATAGCTGCATGGTTATACTGCACTTTTTATAGACATTTTATAGCACTGTTTTATAATGCATAAATGTAATTAAACGTGATTAAAGATTTGTCACTTTTCCATTTGATTCCTTTTTTATTTCTCGCTTGCAATACATATCTAAATTTCCTTATTTCAGTTATTTAATTTTTTTCCCAGTTTTTTATTTTAATACATTTTATTGCACAGCCCAAATGAAAATTAAAAGTTTGGAATAATTAAAACTACTTTTAGTGTTTTTGAAATATTTTTTTCTTATGCGCACCAAGACTGCATTTATATGTCTTCAGTGTCACATGATCTTTCAGAAATCATTCTAATATGTCGATATTAGAATATATTTTAAAAACCATTTCCACAAAAATATTAAGCAGCAAGACACTGTTTTCAACATTTATAATAAGAACTGTTATTAATAACTGAGCATTAATAATAACTGAGGAGCAAATCAGCATATCAGAATGTTTTCTGAAGGATCATGTGACACTGAAGACTGTTCAGTATAGTAATAATTAATAATAAATTAGGGTAAAGTGTGCTTTCATAAAAGTAATAATGCTCCTATAATAAACACTCTACTGTTGTACTACTTCTAAACAGACACTCGAGGGCGGCATCAACCTTAAAATATCCATTGCTGCCCCATTAGCTAAAAAGACCTCGTGTGGATAAGAGGGATATTTTCTATCCAAATTGCATGTTAGATCGTTTGGTCCCTGTGAAAGTTGACGAATAATGAATTTAATGCACTGTAGTGCATTTAGTGGTTTCCTATACACTCTTAAAAATAAAGGTGCTTCAAAAGGTTCTTCAAGCGATGCCATAGAAGAACCATTTTTGGTTCCACAAAGAAGCATTCAGTCAAAGTTCTTTAAAGAACCATCTCTTTCTTACCCTTTTATAATCTGAAGCACCTTCTTTCGCCACAAAGAACCTGTTGTAAAACAGAAAGGTTCTTCAGATGTTAAAGGTTCTTTATGGAACCATTTAGACAAAAAAGGTTCTTCTATGGCATCGTGAAGCACCTTTATTTTTAAGAGTACTTGAATATGTTTTTTTTGCACATCATTTTGTGAAATATTGCAACTACATCACAGCAGTTTTAAAACAACATATGCGATTTTCCTTTTACACTTTAATATTTTGTTCCTCAAAGAGTGGCATTCTGTTGCATCACAAGTACGTCTAGTCCATGTCACATCAGAAAAATCAGTTTTAAAGCCACGGTATTCATATTTTACAGTCTCCCAAATGATCATGCTTTCACATGTCAGAAAGTAATTGAAAGTATTACAGGTATTGCTCAATTTCACTAGGATTAGTGCTGAATTCAAGGCAAAGGGCGATTTTTGACATTGAAAGTAGAAAGATTTATCTGAATTCACCGCATATTAGAATAAACCAAATATATTGTACAATGGTTCTGAACACTTCTCGTACTACTAGATGTAGTGATAGCCAGCCCATATAGAGATTATACTCACATTTATCATTTATCACATTTATCTATTTTCAGGATATTTTGATATATTATTTATTTAGTTAGTTAGTTAGTTAGTTAGTTAGTTAGTTTCAACCTTCATATACCAAATTATATTTCAAAATATATTTCAAGGGCAGGAAAATGCAATCTGAAATTTCCAGTTCTACTATAACCTACATTTAGATCAAAACTAGATTTAAAATTATTTAATAATTAATTAAATTATTATTATTCATTATTATTCATGAATTAATAAGATTTTTCTATAAATATTACATATGTGAATGTATTTTCTTACATTTCAATATATTGAGGGCAAAATATATTTTGAAATGCTTTTAAAAATATATTTATATTTTTAAAATATCTTTAAAAATGTTAAAAATTAATTTTAAAATATTATCTTTTTGCCCATGTTTGTATATTTTTACTTTTTTTTTTTTTTTTTTTGCTGTACAGGGTTGAATGAATATTTGCATCCATCTTATTATTATTATTATTATTATTATTATTATTAAATGTATCAGAAGTTGTTGATTACTGCGGTGTATTTTTATTGGAATTCTATATATTTTTTCGTCATATAAGTGAACTGGAAAACCTCTCAGAATTTATGCCAGTCTCAGGATTTGAATAATGTCAGTGTTGAACGTGTTGTTTGAGTTTGGCATTGATCAAGCAGGAATCCAGTCTTGCGTCAGCAGCTCTACTATGGGATAAACACATCCTACAAGAACTCGTATAGGAAACTAATAAGACAAGAACATGACAATTTAATTACAGTAATGCCATTCCATTACAGTTACAGTATAGATCATGTAAAAAAAAAAAAAATAAATAAACATTAGGTTTGGATGATTCAGTCACTGCTTGACTTTAATTGTGGTACTACTATAAACACGGGCGGCAATCAGGCATTTGACTTTATTGCATTGCTCTATTGGTGTAGTGAGTTTGTTTTTGCTCTAAACCCACACGACTCGAGGTGAACGACACTGGCATCAGGCCAAAGCAAAGGGACGTTGAGAAACCGGGGTTAAAGTTACAGTAGTTGCTGTTATATCACTTGGCAGTGTTTTTGTGTGCCTTTCTGTCAAAACATCAGGTTCATAGCTTGTGAAATACCAGAACATGATGACATTATTGAATCTGTGTCAGTCCAGTATCAGCTGACAGGCTCAGAGTGGCCAATTAACCCAAACACCCCCATCCACCCCATGAACCCCCGAGAACAGGTCAACACAGACAGAGCAAAACAACAACAACAGCAATAATATATAGACACATTCATGTTATTATTTTAATATAATTTTTATTGAATAATATTATTTGTATTTATTATATTTTACCTTTCAGAATAAGATGCTTCACTGACATCAGAAACAAAAAAAGAAAAAAAATTCTAGAAACATTTCTTATTATCAGTGTTGAAAACAGTTGTGTTGCTTCACATATTTGTGGAAACTGTGTTACAGTACCATTCAAAACTTTACAGGAGGTAAACTTGTTAAAAAGCAAGAAAGAAAGAAAGAAAGAAAGAAAAATGTGTTAAACATGGATTTTAAATTGATCAAAGGTGACACATTTAAACACATTTATAATGTTACAAAATATTTCTATTTCAAACAAATGCTGTTTTTTAAACTTTCTTTTAATTGAAATTCAATGGTTTCAATGTTTTCAAGATTGATAATAATAATAATTGTTCCTTGTGCAGCAACTCCGTATATTAAAATGATATCTGAAGTATCATGTGACATTTCATGAATACAGATATTGAGTTTATACACTGAACTGTACAGTAGATACAGTAGCTGTCCAACAAAAAATGTCTGAATAGAACATCCAGTTAAAAAAAAAAAAAAAAAAATCAACTTTAGCCTTAATTTCTACAGAGAAATAGTCATTATATTCCTCATATTTTTGTCTGATGTAAAACCTTTTTTTTGAGATTATTTTATCAGACAGTGAAACCATGGTTCACTATAGTATGGAATGATTACAATGTCCAGATGGCATGGCATATATGTGTGTATGTAAGTGAAAGCAAAGAATTTCCATTTATATCAGACCACAGAATTTCATTTCAACCTTTTATTAAGAACATAAGTGATGAAAAATATCCAGTGAATTTCTAGACTCTCATGGTTTTCTTTTCAACAATCACTCATTGTTTTCTCATCACTCATACAGACAAACTTTAAACATATTATACATATTTATTACTGAGTACATAAATAGAATGTTACATTTCTGTTTTATATAACATATATATATATACAGCAGTTCTACACCTTTTGTATTAAAAAAAAAAAGATTTTACATAATACTGTACATGGAACGATTTCAGTACTAAATAATATTGCATAGAAAATGAACCATCTCTACATAATAATTTTAGTAAAATATTTTTACTATAGTAATATACTAGATAGCAGCAATTATGGAAAAACCTTAAATATTTATTTTAAGCTGTCATTTTAATAAAGTAAATAAATAGAGGAATTATTTGCTAGTATCATAACACAATATACAAACAGTTTGAGGTATAAGTGTGAGACTGATACATTCTATAGGTCAGCAGCAGTATAAAGGCCTCGTAATGTGTCAGATCCGTTTATATGGAGTCATCCGTTCAGGTTAGTATCTGCAAAGACAAAAAAAACAGGTTTCAAAACACAAGAGTAGAGCCTCAGAATGCACACAGGAGCATCAAACGTCTACTAACTGGTCTGAATGAGATGTTTGAAGTCATTTTCATACCTCATCGGCGGACAAAAGCCACGGGAAGCTCTCGGCTGGGAACCAGAGTTCCTGCGTGCAGCGCATCCACCGGCTCATGATCTGTGGCCACAATCTCATAGTCACGTAGTATCTGTGATGAAGAGCGTGAACACATGACATTAATCTACTCATATTAAGACCTAGAAGTATTGCTTTAGCCTTTAGTGTCCAGTAATCGTACCCAGCACAGACTGAGTTGGATCTGTAGCTCAGCGAGCCGCCGGCCGATGCACATCCTCTTTCCGATCCCAAACGGCATGTGTGCGAACGGATTGATGGAGCTTTTCTCCTGAAGCCAGCGCTCTGGTCTGAACTGCTTCCCGTTGTCAAAATACTCCTCGTTTGAAGCGATAGCCTGACTGTTGATCATCAGGATGGTCTGGGAACATCATGAGAAATAGCGATAAATAAATGTAATGCACTCAAATTCCCTTTTATTATTAATTCAATCATGTGCAATGCATAAAATGTCTATACATCTTCACATTTAACAGATAAAATGATAAAGCAATGACGGGGACACAACCTAGTTACTGTCTTGTGGCACTTTTGCGTAACTTAGTAAGCCATTTAAGATAAAATATATAATACTTTGTATTATAATGATAGTTTAATATTAAGTATAATTGTATATTATATTTTTATATTTATTTCAAATTATTATATTTAGTTATAATGAATTATATTTTATACGTATATGTAAAATTATATTTATAATTATAAATATATATATATATATTTATATAATAAAATATATGTATTAATTATTTATTATTATTATTATTAAGATAATATATTACACAATTACATATAGTGTATGTATATATAATATAATTATTAATTTTATTAATGTGAAATTTATCATAAAATATATGTGAACTCTAATTAAAAATATTTGTTAATTATAACTAATATTACTAATTAATTTTAAACATTTATTACTATATATAACATTAAAAAAATCTAAATATAATTTTAAAAAGCAGTGTCTAATTAAATACTGACTATTTAAATATTTTACTATTGTTACATATTTTTGTGTATTAGAGTATCACATTACTAATATTGCAAAACGTTAAATTCTATTGGAATCTATGGTGCTGTCATGAGAGGAGCATTTTTTTGCTGCTAGTTTATAGCTTTTTAAATCAGTCTTGTATCGGTTAGGATGCTGTCTTAGAATGGAGCTGCCAATAGACTTCCAGGCCTCTCACTGGAGTTCATATAGGGGGCAGTAGTGAGCAGGTCTAATAATGAGATACTCACTCCTTTGGACAGAGTATAATCGCCCAGCACGGTGTCTTTATCTAAGGTACGGCTGGTGAACGGCACAGACGGTGAAACTCTGCGGGGGAAAAAAAAGACAATGAACCTCTTGCTTTTGAGAATTTCTGAGAATTTCCTTTTTTTTTTTTTTTTAGCATGCGTGAGCGCGTAAAATGAAAGGTATGAGACACATTATGCTGCTAATGCAAGTCAAGGCTAGATAATCCCGCAAATACACCATCAACATTCCCAGCACATGCTTCAGCATTATCCTGCTTTAATGTCCGTGTCTTCCTGTAATGCATGACTGTCGCCTGAAACATGAAAGCGTATAGGCATAAGGTGTAAACATGCTTCCATGTGCTTTCAGATTCCAGTCAAGAGTATTATGTCAGCTGACTAGATCTGGGAAGGACCAGCCTAATCTACTGCCATTCTATTAGTGATGATCATGAGTCACCTCATAACCTTTCACAGCTGATACTGAGAATTCAACAGAAGAGTGATGGGACGACTATACAATAAAGGCTCCAAAGAGAGTTTTTTGCAGCGATGCCATAGAAGAACGTTTTTTTAGTTCCTCAAAGAATATTTAATTGAAAAGTACCATTAAAAGAACCATTTTTCTTAGTTTGAAGAGCATTTTATTAATCTAAAGAACCATTTTGCACCAATTTGGAATGGAAAGGTTTCTGTGGATATTAAAGGTTCTTCATGAAATCATTGATGCCAATAAAGAACCAGTGTAAGAACCATTTTTGGTTCCCCAAATAACGTTTCACTTAACGGTTCTTAAAAGATCAATTTGAAAAACATTAAAAATCAAAACTTTTTTCGCTATAGTAACTTTATAGTAACTTTTTTTTTTTAAGTGTGTAAGAACCATTTTGAGTTCCCAAAAGAACTTTTCAGTAAACAGTTCTTAAAAGAATAATTTTCCTCATTTTTGAAGAACATTTTAATAATATGAAGAACCTTTTTGCACTATAGATAGTTAAAGGTTCTTTGTTGGCACTGACATTTCAATGAACAACCTTCAACATCCATAGAACCACTAAAGGTTCTTTATAGTGGAAAACATTATTCAAATATTCCTCAGACTAAAAAAAATGGTCCCTTTAAGAATTGTTCACTGAAAGGTTCTGTGGGGAACCAAAAATGTCTCCGTGAAAACCTTCTTTTGGAACCTTAATTTTTCAGAGTGTAGAAGAACATTTTAATAATCTGAAGAACCTTTTTCTTTTTACTGTACAAGATATAAAGGTATAATTGAATATTAAAATTTTTTTATTGGCATTGATGGTTCCATGAAGATCCTTTAAAATCCATGCAACCTTTCCATTCCACAAAAGGTTCTTTAGATTATTAAAATGTTCTTCACACTAAGAAAATAATGGTTCTTTTAAGAGCTGTTCACTTAAGGGTTATTTTGGAAACCCAAAATAGTTCTTCAATGGCAATGATGCGAAACCTGATTTTGGAGACTTTATTTTTAAGAGTGTAAAGACCTTGTGATGTTCCATGGATGTTAAAGGTTCTTCATGGAACCAATAATGTTCCAATAAAGAACCTTTATCTTCAAAAGTCTAAGAAACATTTTTGGTTCCCCAAAGAACTTTTCAGTGAACAGTTCCTCAAAGAACCATTTTTCCCCATTTTAATAATCTAAAGAACCTTTTAGAAAGAACATAATATTTCAGTTGCTGTTTCTTTGTAATTGTGAAATTTACCAGCATATTTTCAGCGGAAATTGTTTCTACAGCAAATCATTTCAGTGTAACCTATTTTAGGAGCCATTAGGCACATGTTGAAGGATATTTTGCCCACCTCATGGACTCCTTCAGGCAGGCTTTGAGGTAGGGCATGTTCTTGATGTGCTCGGCTCGCGGCGTTTCTCCTGCAGGCACCACGTCCTGGATCTCCTTCAGAAGTTTAGCTTGGGCGCAGGGGTTACGTGAGAGGTTGAAAATAACCCACAACATGCTATTAGCGGTCTGCAAAGGGAAAACAAGAAGGATTTGTTTGGTCAGTTGGGCCACGCTGAACAGCGTCCCTCCCTGAACAGCGCGCTACGCCTGCTCTGCCTCATTCTTCTGACTTATGTGCTTGATTGAGCTAAGCTGTGTGTTGTTCAATCTTAGCCTGGATAAGAGCAGAACAAAGACGAGTTAAATCAACTGTTTTCTTAGCTCGCTCGCGTGTGACTCGAAAACAAGCAAGTGAAAAACAAGCTGGTTTGTGTGGGGTCATGAAAGTGCGTACCGTCTCCACTCCTCCGACCTGGAGTTCGGTTGTGGCGGCGTACAGCTCCTTCTTGGTCAGGTGGCTCTGGTGGTAGATGTCGCAGAGGAAGTTTCCGGTTTTGCCGTTTGATTGCCTCTTCAGATTCTTATCAATGTAGAGTTTAGCTGTTAAGATGATGGATTGCTTGATTAGTTGGTGATATTTTTGATTAAACATTTTAAAAACAGGACAGTTTGAGTGTGTGTATGTTCTTACATTGTATTTTATGATTAGAAGTAAATAAAATGTTATTTGTTAAAATAGATTTACAATAAATGCATAATTGATATATATATATATACCTATACCTATACCTATATATATACAGTATATAGGTACACTGCCATTGGGGTTTTTTTTTTTGTCAAAAATACAGTACAAATATAGTAATAATTGTGAAATATTATTGCAATTTAAAGTAGCTGGTTTCTATCTGAATATATTTTAAAATGTAATTTATTCCTGTGATGCAAATCTGAATTTTCAGCATCATTACTCTTTAGTGTCACATGATCCTTCAGAAAACATTCTGATTTGCTGCTTATTTCTGATTATTATCAATGTTTGCAATTTAAAAATGTACATTAAAATTTCTATATAAATTTAGATAATATTTTGATAAAAGGTTTGAAATACAACTTTAACTAATAAGTGATTTTAACCTTAACATGTATGTTCATATCTGTTTATGCAAAGCACTTTAAAGCATCATTGTGCAACAGATTTATGCAACAATGTTCTGAGCAAATTACATTTCTCTAATAATAATTGTATTTGTTTCTGTATATATATATTTTTTTCTTCTTAATAATCAATACTGAGAGGAATATGCATATTTCGAATGCACTTTGTGCATGAATGTAAATATTCTATTCAATAACTTAAAAAACATATTAAACATATATAACATGACTCAAAAACATTTAAGGTATTACCACTTTTGTCTTAATGGTAGGCCTACGTGTGGAACGCCCTACTACTGTTTAGCTGCAGGGAAAGTGAAGTGTTTGTGAATGTGTGACAGGTGCTGCGAGTGAGCCGCCGCTAATGGAGCAACAGCAGCACAACAAACTGTGAGTAATTCAGCCTCACGCCAACATTCCTCCCTCCCTCCCTCCCTCCACTCCTGCTACTTCAAATATTTGGCTGGATTCTCATGCACTTAGGTCACTGCGTTTACTACTGCGGTTCACTCTCTCTCTCTCTTGCTGTGTGCATGGATCTGCTATAGCGGGTCGGAGCAGAAAGCCGCAAGTTAATGTGTCATCACCTGAGTGGAAATGAAAGCTTTATAGGTTACATGTCAACTGATTAAGGAGCTCTTTAGTACCTGTGCTAAAAATACGGTCCCAGGCCGCTGTGTGATCTTGCCACGTTTTCGTATTGAAGGTCTTGTGGAGCTCCACGGGAGTCACCATCATTAATCCAAAGGTGCTCATCATCTAAAAGTGAGAAAACACCATGTGGATTTGTTTTTGAACTATGAAACCCTTTGCATCTTTGCATTGCATTGCATCAGAAGAGATGTAGACAAAGCTTATGCACTTTAGAGTGTGTTACTCACTGTTTGAACTATTAATTGGGTCAAAAGGATGGTCAATTTACCGTCTTTACTGAAGTGATGAAATCCATGGCCTCGTTGCTGATGCTGTCTTGCAAGAGTCCAAAACGTTTGTCATAAAGCACATAGCAAATCGCTAAAAGGCCAAAAGAGAAAGAAATGTAATGCATTTCATTATAGTAAGTCAGTGTATGGCAGACATGGCATGAAACTCACTTTCAAAGGACCACTTGTTCAGTTCAAAATACAAATCATCGATCTTCCCGTTGACTTGGGCTCTTCCGATCCTCTTTATCAAATCAGCCGAAACCTTTCCATAAAGACACCGAGCAGTCATTCAAACTGTCTTTGCACGAATGTGAACTATACTTGATATCAAGCAGAACTCACTTCATTGATTTTGCCGTCCAGTTTCATGACTTCGGTCGGTTTCATGAGTTTCTGCTGGAAAGCGCTGCGCACCCGCTGCCAGTCCTTTCCTTCCCTGCAAATACATTTGTTTGCATTTTAGAATATTATGAAATAAGCAATTAAATCTCACATGCATTTGTAAATGAATTATGATATTTACAGTATAAGCAGCCCATAAGCCTCATGCCGCATGTCTCTGTAGGCTTTCCATGGTTTGATCTCCAGTCTCTGAGGATAGTTGCTCTCTTTTCTGTAAAGAGCCTCCAATAAACATGGTGCACCAATGTGAACCGACTCAAAAGAGCCCAGCTTCATCTGGAAGATCTTCCCAAACTTCTTATGGTAATGGATCTGAGGTTAAAAACACAGAAGGACAGAGAAAACACCCTTAAAACTGAAGAAATGTACAGGAATGAATAAATGAATAAATAAATAAATAATGTTTTTTTATTTAAACTATTATTAGGACAAGGTGGGATTCAAATAAGCATAAATAAGTTAAAAGTTAAAATAATTAAGTAAATAAATAAGTTATGAGTTATGAAAAGAATGCAAAAAAGTAATGCATTTATTATAAAAAAAAAACAGTAAACTTCACTAAACATCAAAGTTATGTTATGGTGTATATATAAATAAGAACATTTTAATCATAACCAGTAACCATAAATAAATGAAAAAAAGTTTCAATAAATTTCACTAAAAAATTAAAGTTAATTTATAGTGTACATATAAATAAGAAAACTATAAATGAAAATAAATTGAAATAAAATCATGCATTTACTATCACTATTAATATTATTGTTGTTATTATTAATGGAAAGCAAGGTATACTGTTTATACTGTATACTATACTTTTGCATAAAATTAAATGTATGCATAAAATGTAATTATGAAATTAAGTTTAAAGTAATTATTCAAATAAAAACGTTTTTTTTTTAAATTGGACTAAAAACAATAGATAATAAATAGAAATGAGAAGGTGAATTTAAAATCTTTAAAATAAATAAGTTTAAAATATTTGTAAAATATATCAAATAAAATAATTGTTTCATAATGGATAACAATAAGAGGTTCATACCAGCGCCTCATGTTGTCTTTTTAGACCTCCTTTCAGGAGCAGCTCGATGAGGCTTCCGAACAGCGGCCAGTTGGTTGGTCCAGGGATGGAGTCGAGACTGTGTGCGCAGGGCGCGCTCTCCGCAGCATCCTTCGAGTCCAGCACACACACGGAGGATGTGGGCTTGCAGTGCTGAAGCCCCATAGACTTCTTCTTCAGCAGCTCCAGAATCTGAGGACCTTTCTGAATATGCGCTCTCATCTTGAGGCGTGCGTAAAAGTGTTCGTGAAGTTTCTCTTAAATGCCACTATATATATACTCGCGGCCGTGTTTATCTCGGTCGGACGCGGCGACCAATTAGGAATCTTGTGTGGAAGTCGAGCCCACCTTGCATTTACGGATCCGCTTTGGTGAGTACCGCCTGACCCCACATAGACCGAGGAAGTGCCCTCAAACGCGCTTTACAAATAAACATAACGGAGGTGACGCGGTTCGCTTTGAGCTGCCCTCAACTCCTCTCTCTGAGTAAACACTGAGACCACGCGACGCCAAGACGCGCAAATATTTGCTCAATATCTCCTGTGCGCACTCGTGGCCAAAGGCGATCGCAATCGCGCTTGTTTGTACAGCATTCGCGATGGAGCTCGAGAACATTTCAGCACCGAATTTCATTCATGAGATCTCATATGATCATCATTAAGCATCGTTATGCACAAGTGCAGCACCTGATTCATAGTGAACTTTGAAAAGAAACTTCTAAAAGTTTTTTGCATGCAGATAACGTATTCATTTATTATGGTTTTACAGTATTGGTAAAAATATATCAGGAGAGCTGATAGATAACATGGATGTTTGTCCATAAGCATCAAGATTTTTGATTAGAAATTGAATAAGAGGAAGTGCATATCTAGATGGTCCTGCAGTGTGACAAATTAAAGTACAGTTATTAAGTATTTAATTAATGAATTTGATGTCATGGGGCCATTCATTTTTAGAGTATTGACTAATAAATGTACCAGGATAGTTATGTAACATTTTTGTCAAGATTTGACATTAAAATGTTGCATGTGTATAAGAGCACACTGTAAAAGGTATTGATGGATTATGTTTTTCTGATTCAAAATTAAATGTTAATTGCCATCTCTTTACAATTATTTGTGAAATATACTAGCAGTTTCTGGGTGAAAGTTGTTTCACAACCAATTTTTCAGTGTAAGTGCATATTTAGACTGTAATTAAAAAAAAGGCAAATAATGCAAGGGTTATTGGAGTACATTTTAGTACTTTTCTTTCTAAATGTCACATTTAATTCAGTGTCATTGAGTTACAGTGCTTGCTGGTTCTTTGTAATAATTTGTGAAATGTACTAGCATTTTCAGAATAAAAATGGTTTCAAAGTAAATCATACATTTATTTCAGTGGATATATATATATATTATACTGGGCTGTAAAGTACACAGTAAAATCAGCAGTGTAGTATTTGCAGTGTTAAAAGTTATTAATTCCCAAAGAGTTGAATTAACAATCTACAGTGTTAAACAGTACTCATGTTCAGTGTTGTTATATGGTGTAATTTCACTTTTACACTAAAAGTGCGGAATGAAAAACCCGCCGAATTGTCTGGACTCCGCCCTTCAATGACTGCTGCCTCGCGAAGCGACGACGCCATTTTTTCTTCAAGCGACAGAGACGGTAAGTTGGATTGCTTTTCTCTTTATAAAAGTACACGGGAAAAACATTTTTGTTGATAATTTTACTCAAAATATGATTGGTGGTGAACACATTTAGAAATTACTAACTGCGCGTGTTTTTTTTTCAGGTTTAGTGTTAAGTTCGTGTTCGTGAGGTGGAGAGATGTAAGTTAACGTTAAGTTAGAGAAGAGTGAAAGTTTCTCATGCCGGTTCGATTTCCTGAAAAAAGGTGATTAATGTTACGTGTAAAATAACTTTTTGGAATGTGCTTACAATTTATGTTATATATGCTTTCAGCTTCTTTCATTTTGGTTCATTGACAGATCCTCTCGCCTCCATTCCCGCCGAGGCCTGGTTTTACTACGAGTCTGGCACTGAAGTCTGAAGCAGCCACATTTGGGCGGTTTTCTACTCAAATGAGAGAATTCATCAAATGGTAAATTTATATTTATTTTTGAAAGCATTGAGTGTGGTGTTTCGCTGTTTCCATGCTTTGAAATGGTAATAGTGGGACTGTTAAACATTACGCGCTAACAATTTCGTTTTTGTGATGCATGACACCGTGTTGAAGTGTCTGTCTCGCCCGCTGCAAACGAGCAGTCTTTCTGCAGACAGAGCTGGCATAACGCGGAACATTTACCAGTCATTTGATTGACGTTATCTAATGCAAAACTGAAATTAGAGCGCGTTTAAAAACTTCCATTCGCCATAGGCTTAAGTGTGAACTGCGTAATCTGTACGTTGCTTCATACCAGCGTGTTGAAGTGTCTGTCTCGCCCGCTGCAAACGAGCAGTCTTTCTGCAGACAGAGCTGGCATAACGCGGAACATTTACCAGTCATTTGATTGACGTTATCTAATGCCTTACTCTGAAATTAGAGCGCGTTTAAAAACTTCCATTCGCCATAGGCTTAAGTGTGAACTGCGTAATCTGTAGGTTGCTTGTTCTCAGCGCTGAATATCATGTCTGTCATATCGTCATATCTGTCGACAAGTTTTTCTTATGACAATTACGTTAATACAAGCATCGTGAAAGTTAATTAAAGGTACGTTAAACTGTAAATCCGTCAGTCTTTCAATTTCCTTCAGTGCCCACTGGCAGAGCATGCAGGTACTTTAGCTTGAAACCAGTCTTTATCAATTCATATGGCATGCTATTTTGGGTTAAATAATGTCCTAGATATTTCTAGATATACAAAGTTAAGTTTTAATGGAGAAATAGGTCTGAATCTATCTGTATTTTCTTTTCACATTATAAATAATAAATTAATAGTAAGATAAATTCTTAACACATGTTAATTTATTCTAATGTAGTACACTGTTCATTTTAAGATGCCTTATTACTCATGTTACTCATTAAAAATTATACAAATTTATTTAATAATCAGATTAAATAAACACTTAAATTGTTTCAGGCCTCCATGTGAATATTGCACAATGTTTCATTTAATTGACCCTAGAATGAAGTATGTAAAAAAAAAAATTACAAGTTTACGATTTGACACCTGTATTATAGACAGTTCTCAGCATACTCAAAATTAGGGGTAATCACAATTATTTTACCATATTTAATTACTGAAATAAGTGTTTTTTTAATCCTTTTTCAATAGAATTGGCCCAGACTTCTGCAGTGTCAAGTAAAGAAAGCTCCTCTCATAAGATTGCAAACTGGGAGTCTGATGACACTGAGTGTGAGTGATGGAAGCCCTTCAAGAAAGGCACATTTGGGCGGTTTTCTACTCAAATGAGAGAATTCATCAAATGGTAAATTTATATTTGTTTTTGAAAGCATTGAGTGTGGCATTTCGCTGTTTCCATGCTTTGAAATGGTAATAGTGGGACTGTTAAACATTACGCGCTAACAATTTCGTTTTTGTGACGCATAACAGCGTGTTGAAGTGTCTGTCTCGCCCGCTGCAAACGAGCAGTCTCTCTGCAGACAGAGCTGGCATAACGCGGAACATTTACCAGTCATTTGATTGACGTTATCTAATGCAAAACTCTGAAATTAGAGCGCGTTTAAAAACTTCCATTCGCCATAGGCTTAAGTGTGAACTGCGTAATCTGTACGTTGCTTGTTCTCAGTGCTGAATATCATGTCTGTCATGTCGTCATATCTGCGTCAAGACACAAACGCGCTACCATCAAGTTTTTCTTATGACAATTACGTTTATGCAAGCATCGTGAAAGTGAGTTAAAGGTACGTTAAACTGTAAATCCGTCAGTCTTTCAATTTCCTTCAGTGCCCACTGGCAGAGCATGCAGGTACTTTAGCTTGAAACCAGTCTTTATCAATTCATATGGCATGCTATTTTGGGTTAAATAATGTCCTAAATATTTCTAGATATACAAAGTTAAGTTTTAATGGAGAAATATGTCTGAATCTATCTGTATTTTCTTTTCACATTATAAATAATAAATTAATAGTAAGATAAATTCTTAACACGTTCATTTATTCTAATGTATTACACTGTTCATTTTAAGATGCCTTATTACTCATGTTACTCATTAAAAATTATACAAATGTATTTAATAATCAGATTAAATAAACACTTAAAAGGCCTCCGGCCTCCATGTGAATATTGCACAATGTTTCATTTAATTGACCCTAGAAAAAAATAAAATAGATTTGACACTTGACACCGGTATTATAGACAGTTCTCAGCATACTCAAAATTAGGGGTAATCACAATTATTTTACCATATTTAATTACTGAAATAAGTGTTTTTTTAATCCTTTTTCAATAGAATTGACCCAGACTTCTGCAGTGTCAAGTGAAGGAAGCTCCTCTCATAAGATTGCAAACTGGGAGTCTGATGACACTGAGTGTGAGTGATGGAAGCCCTTCAAGAAAGGAGCAGAATGCTGAAGATGAAGCCAGAATTGTGAGTCTGTGTCATTTATATGTTATTCTATGTGCAGTACAAATTTAAAACACACAAATGAATATGAAAAATTGAAGTTGAACTGGGCAGGCACACAATATCAGCTTATGTTCACACTTGGAATTTTCTAATTATTAATTTAAGATATCAAACTGCAAAAAGATAAATGGTTAGTTGACCCAAAAATGAAAAATTTTCATTATTTCTCACTCTCTGTCATTCCAAACCTGCAAGACTTGCATTCATTTTCAAAACACAAATGAAGACATTTTAAATGAGAAAATGTCCTTCCATCGACAATCTACACAACTACCACTTTGATACTTCAAGAAGTTCATAAAGAGATCATAAAACTAATCCAAATGAATCGAGCAGTTTAGTCCAAATTTTCTCAAGAGACTCGATCGCTTTACAATGAACAGATTGAAATTTTTTTTTTCACATTTAAACATTAGTCGGGGAACATAAACAGAAAAACAGAAAATTTGGACTAAACCACAATACGTATGGATTAGTTCTCTTTATGGATTAGATCTCTTTATGAAGTTTATGAAGTATCAAAGTGGTAGTTGCGTGGCCCGTCATTCAAGGGACAGAAATCTTGTATTCTAATATCTTCAATTGTGTTTCAAAGATAACAAAAGTCTTGGCTGAGTAAACAATTTTGAAATTTTAATTTTTGAACTAACCCTGTAATAAAAGAACGTGGCCAAATGCGTCACCCAAGATGTGTGCTAATGCCAGGTGTGAACAGAGCCACTGTGTGACTACACAATCAACTTGGCAGAA